GCTCAGCTCCCATCACACCACTGAGCCCACGGTGGTGTTCCTGGAAGATCCTGGCGGGCTGAGAGTTTCTTGGGGCCAGTATCAGAATCACTAGTGTCTCGCATTGGGTCTGGCACATTTTAGGCACTCAACAGATTGTGGCTGTTATTAGGTAGAGTTATATGACACAGAGTTCCCACCTCAGGACACTGGCACTTTTGTTCCCTGTGTCTGGGATGTTCTTCCCCCAGATATCTGCAAAGCTCTCTCTTACCCCCTCAGATATTTGCCAGAATGTCACCTTCTCAGTGAAGCTTTCCCTGATCACCTTATTTCAAATTGCAAACACTTGACTCCCCTCATTCTCCTTCCCTAGTTAATTTTTTCTCTATAGCATTTAACATCATCTGATTGATGGATCCTGTCTTTATTTAAAATTTTGATGTTTTCTTCAACATGGATTTTTGCATTAATTTTGTTTTTTTAAAATTAATTGCATTAAAATACCATTTATCTTGATTACTGAGTTCTTTCTCCCCACCACCCCACTTAAATTTCACTCTATTGGTTTTATTGACTGTTTCCTCTTTTTAGAATGTAAGCTACACTGAATGCAGGGAATTTTGTCCGTTTCGTTCACTATTCCCAGTGTCTATGTAACAGTGACTCGTACATAGTAGCTGCTCAAAAATTTTGTGAATGTAAGTTTGAATTCCTGTCTTTACGACTACCTTGGGCATTGTAATGAAGGTGCCCTTCTCCAACTATTTCACAAATTTTAAAGTTATTTACATTGAAAGCCTGTAAAATCATAGGGTGGAGTAGAAACTACATTGCCTAGTGTGTTGTCATGGTTACACGGTCGTCAGCGGTCCTCCTATTCGGGCGAGCGGGCGGGGCCTGGCAGTGGGCGGGAACACTAGGCTCAAATCCTCGGAGGTCGGCTTTGATCATAGAGTGACACCTCCCTAATTCCTAGAGAGCACTTCCGGAATGGTGATTTACTCATTGCTGCCCAGGCCAACCTATCATCTTGAGGAAAGCCAGGTTGTCGCTCTTGGGCTAAACTTCCGGAAAACCTCTCCGTCTCGCCTAGAGTGGGGCGGGGCCAGAGCGCCCGCCCCGCCCCCGCGAGCGCGGCTTTGCGATTGGCGAGAAGGACGGGAGGCGGGGCTTGGCGCAGGCGCGCTGGCCCAGCGCGGCGATCTTGGGGTGGTGCTGGCTGGGACTGCAGTTGGTGAGCGTGACAGCGAGGCCTAAGGGACGGGCGGGGGCGGCGCAGTGAAGCGACGACCGGGTTCTGGGCGCGGAGACCTAGGACTCTGGTGTCCGTTTACTCACGTGCGTCCTGTCCTTGAATTGGGGCGGGCTCACGGTCACAAACTATTGGATAGTGCCCGTCTCCTAGTCTCAGTTTGTGCTGATGTAAAATGAGGGCGGAACTTCCTAGTCCACTTTAGGTCGGCGTGAGGCACGTGTTCCTAGAAGTGCCAGCCCTAGAAAGGCCCTCGGGATGACCTGGTGGCCGAGCCAGCCTTCCCTTTTTACGTACGGGGAAACGGAGGCCTCGAGAGCTGAGTGATTGGACCAGGGCCACCCAGCGAGTGAGGCCGAGCCAGTTCTCAGAACTAGGTCTGGGGCTCCATTGCTGTTTTATACAGCACGGTCGTGGTGGAAACTAAGTGGGATTTGGAGGCGGGGACCCTGCCTTCCAGGTGTGACCCTGCGCTCATTTGCTGGGTCACTTAACACAAGTGACTTCACATCTCAGAGCCTCCCTCTTCTATGAGTTGGGCATAATAATAATGACATACACTTAATGGCACTTGCTGTGTACCAGATACTGTCGTAAACGCTTTGTGTACGGTTTTCCTGATTTGATTTGAGGGCAATTGTGAGTCAAATAATCTTCAAAAAGGTCTGGGCTGGAAGGGCTGACAGTGTCCCCACAGAGTGGGTACTCAAAACGTCTGTTGAGCGAGTGAATGACTCAGAGGCTCTTTGCCGGAGTCTGAAATGCCGCACATGTTAGTTACTATATTGCTTTCAAGCTATTGTCTATGGATAACTTTGAAAATTGGAGATAATTGTAATTACTATTCTACTTTTGTAAGCTGAGGGGTCTGAGGACAGAGGCACGCATTGGTGGGGAGGGCTTAAAGCTCTTATTTTAATTATCCAGATAATTATACCATTGCACCCATTTACTTTGCTCTTTATTAATGTATTTTATCAACAAACATTATTGATAATAGTCTAAATATTGGGCATTGTGCTAGACCTTGAAATCTAAAAATGTAGAAAACCTCATGAACTCAGTTTAATGGAGGAATAGGACATGAAACATCATTCACTCCCAATGTCTGGCACACAACAGTTTATGAAAAACATTTTTGGAAATCATTCCAGTACAGTGTACTATAAAGAGATGTGTGCAGTGGAGCACAGAGAAGAAGGTGACTTTCTCTCTTAGGGGTTGGAGAAAACTTGGAATAAGTGAACCTTGAATGATGAGTTAGAGTTGCTGGGGTTGGGAGAGGTTAGTTAGCCTGTTCGAGGAATGATGCGCAGTTTGGGGCATGTTAGGGCATGTGGTAGGATAAGAAGCTGCAAAAGGTGTGTTGAGGTCAAAATATGAAGAGCTTTGGTGCCATTCTGAGAAAATTATGGGGAGCCAGCTGTTAATGGATTGTAAGCAGGGGAGTGATTGGGTCAGCTACCATTTTAGCTGTAATATGGAGACTGGACTGCCAGGAGTCAAGAATCATTCAGTTCATTCACTGATAGAACATATATTGGGTGTCCACTGTGTCCAGGCACTGCACTGATGCAGACACAACTCGGAACAAAGTAGGCGTAGCTATTGCCCTCATGGTGTTCAGGAGCTAAGTCAGCGCAGCTGCATAGCTAGGCTTCTGGCTTCTGCAGGGGTTTTCCCTGTGTGGTCCCTGGACCAGCAGCATCACTGTCACCTGGGAACTTGTTAGAAATACTAGTTCTCTGCCCACACCCCAGACTTACTGATTCTGAAACTTACTGATTACTGAAACTCTGGGGCTGGAGCCCTGCAATCAGAGTTTTAACAAGGCCCCCAGTGATTCTGATGCTCTGTTAAATTTCAGAACCACTGGGCTACTGTAATGTAGCAAGTGGTATTGAAGGGCTAACCCAAAATTGAGGTAGTAAGGGCCAGAAAGTTATGGGTGGAGTTGAGAGAAATCTTGGAGACAGACTCCTTTCCTTCAGGAGGAGTCAAGGATGAAGGAGTTTCTGGCTTGGGCTGCCGGTCTAAGGTCAAACCACAAGTAAGTGACGCACCCCTGGCCTCCATGAAGCCACACTAGGGCTCTGTGGCAGTGCCTCCCAACCTTTCAGTATTTGAACAGTGCACAGGGGAAATGGATGAGGCTGCTCGAGGTTGGAGGGGACCAGATGGAGTAGGAGGTTACCTGCTGGGGGATCCCAGCTACCCAGAGCTGAAAGAAATCAGTAACCCACTCTCAGCATACTGCCGGGAGCTCCCGCTCTATAGGCTGTGCTGAAAAGTAGAGGTGCTCTCTGAAATTGGCAATATAAGTCAAGAACCTTAAAAGAGTTTATATCCTTTGACTCAATAATTCCATTTCTGAAAATCTCTCCCAAATATATACCAAAAAAAAAAAAAGGATTCTGTTAATCGTAGATCATGTATAAGAGAAAAAACTGACAATGCTGGTGGTAGGAGAATCATTTTTTATGTAGTCAAAACAATGGGATGTTGTACTTACATTAGAAATGTGTGAATATTTTGTAAAGTCATAGAGAAACGTACTTGCCTATTGGCAGTGTCTAGTGAGCCCCTGCCATGTGTGAGGATATGGTGGTGAGCAAGCTAAGGGCTGAGTGGCGGAAGACGGGCACCAAATGAGCAGTAACCCCAGAGGGACTGGTGTTTGATAGGGGATGAGTGGGCTGTGCAGGAGAAGCCAGTCTTTTGGGGTTTGGGGACTGGGACAAGGAAGGCTTCCTAGGGGACAGGATAGTAACCCTGAGGCTCAAAGGATGGGCAGATGTTTGTATGCAAAGGGGAGAGAGGTGTTCTATGCAGAGGGGTCAGTGTTTTTAAGAGCAAGTGTGGCACAGCTGGATCCAGGAGAGGGTGGTGGTGAGACAGGCCTGAGGGGGCCAGCTGTGCACGCCCTGAAGGTCAGGAACTTAGACCTTACTCTAAGGGTAGCAGGAGGCTGTTTTAAGCAAGAAAAGCTCTTACCGTCTGTGCATTGGAAGGCTTCCCTGTGGCTGCAGCATGGAGAATGTATTGATGGAGGGCAGGAATGGAAGTGGGAGACCAGTGAGGAGGCTGTTGCAAAGCCCAGATGAGAGAGGATGGTGGCCTGGACCTGGGCGGAGGCTGTGGAGAGAACAGGGACAGATTGCACAGCAAGTGAAGAGGTGGGAATGACAGGGCCAAGAGGGCCAGTGACTGTGGGGCATAGCGAGGGCGAAGTAGATGAACCCAGGTTTCTGGTTTGGGCAACGGGCAGCTTGTGGTCCATGCAGAGTGGCAGGCAGTGCTGGTGGGGGGAGTGGGTGTGGGGGAAGATGCTGAGTTCAGTCTGCAGCGTGGAGTTGAAGTACCTGTATAGTGTGCTCTCCTGGAGGCTACTGGGTGTGTAGGTGTGACGCTCAGGAGACAAGACGCATATGGAGTAGAGGTGTTGACTCAAGGTCCTCAGCGTTGGCATGCAAAGGACAGAGCTTGCAAAAGAGACAGGGGATGGAAACATAATGTCAGCAGCATTTGGGCCAAGTGATTATAGTTGATTTTCTTTCTGAGCTCACAGTATGTGCCAGCTACTGCTCTAAGAACTTTACTCTTCTAAATTCCCAAATAAACCTACATGGTACGTCCTGTTATTACCATTTTATGATGAAGAAACTGAGCACTGAGGGGTTAAAGCCCATGTCCCAGGCTACACAGGGTGCAGCCAGTCGGAAGCCCCACTGGAATCCAGGCTGCCTGAGTCCAGAGCCTGTGCGATCCCTACACGGTGGTGTAGTGATCTCCATGGTATGTTGTTATGCTTTTATAATCAGGAAAATATTGATTTCTTTATAAACAGAAGTAAGAGGTGAAAGAAGTAGTGCTTTGATCTGCTAGGATATTACAAATGGAAAGATTTGTATCTGCAAAATCAGTGACTGTCTTAGAAGTTCGTTGGAGACTGAGCTGGCTACTTCGTGGTGTCAGCACACAGTTCACGCTCATTGCCGCGCAACCCTTTTTTCTCCAGGTGCAAGTGCTTCCCTGTGCCAGGGTATCATGGAAGGGCTGCTGACAAGATGCAGAGCGTTGCCCACCCTGGCCACTTGCAGCTGCCAACTCTCTGGGTATGTCCCTCGCAGGCTTCACCACTGTGCCCCAGGGAGAAGGCAGCGCTTGGTGCTGTCCCGTGTGTTCCATCCACAGAACCTTCGGGAAGACCAGGTGCTCTCCCTGGAGGGCAAAGCTAGTGACCTGACCTGTAAGAGCCAGCGGCTAATGCTGCAGGTGGGCCTGATCCACCCGGCAAGCCCTGGCTGTTACCATCTCCTGCCTTACACCGTCCGTGCCATGGAGAAGCTCGTGCGGGTAATAGACCAGGAGATGCAGGCCATTGGGGGGCAGAAAGTCAACATGCCCAGCCTCAGCCCGGCAGAGCTCTGGCGAGCCACCAACCGCTGGGACTTGATGGGCAAAGAGCTGCTAAGACTTAGAGACAGACATGGCAAGGAATACTGCTTAGGACCAACTCATGAGGAAGTTATTACAGCCCTGGTTGCCTCCCAGAAGAACCTCTCCTACAAGCAGCTTCCGTTCCTGCTGTACCAAGTGACGAGGAAGTTTCGGGATGAGCCCAGACCCCGCTTTGGTCTTCTCCGTGGCCGAGAGTTTTACATGAAGGATATGTACACCTTTGACTCCTCCCCAGAGGCCGCCCAGCAGACCTACGGCCTGGTGTGTGACACCTACTGCAACCTGTTTGACAGGCTGGGGCTTCCATTTATCAAGGTCCAGGCAGGCGTGGGCAGCATCGGGGGCACGATGTCTCACGAGTTCCAGCTCCCAGTGGATGTTGGAGAGGACCGGCTTGCCATCTGTCCCAGCTGCAGCTTCTCGGCCAACATAGAGACACTAGATTTGTCACAAAGAAACTGCCCTGCTTGCCAGGGACCACTGACTGAAACCAAAGGCATTGAGGTGGGGCACACATTTTACCTGGGTACCAAGTACTCTTCCATTTTCAATGCCCAGTTCACCAACATCCAGGGCAAACCATCCCTGGCTGAAATGGGGTGCTATGGCTTGGGTGTGACACGGATCTTGGCTGCTGCCATTGAAGTCCTCTCTACAGAAGACTGCATCCGCTGGCCCCGCCTCTTGGCCCCTTACCAAGTCTGCCTCATCCCCCCGAAGAAGGGCAGTAAGGAGGAGGCAGCTGCTGAGCTCACAGGGCACCTGTATGACCACATCACAGAAGTGGTGCCTCAGCTTTGTGGGGAGGCGCTGCTGGACGACAGGACCCACCTGACCATTGGAAACAGACTGAAAGACGCCAACAAGTTGGGCTACCCCTTTGTGATCATCACTGGCAAGAGGGCCCTGGAGGACCCTGCACATTTTGAGGTTTGGTGTCAGAACACTGGTGAGGTGGTCTTCCTCACAAAAGACGGAGTTGTGGAGTTACTGACCCAAGTGCAGACTGTCTAAATGCCCCCCAGGCCACTCGCGCCCCGTCTCACAGCCTTGCTGTCGTTCTAACATGCACTCTCCTCCACTCCTTTCCTGGGCTGCTCTCTCCAGAAACAGGGCAGCTCATGGGAGCTGAGACCATGCTGGAGAAACCAACTCTTACCCAGTCATTTGTTCAAATGATTTGTATTTAAAGTCATTAACTTGATCCCTTTCCCTGGATGATCATGCCACCATATACCATTCCTTCTGTATTCCTTTGTGGAAGCTTCTATTAGGAGGCTGAGAGATAAGAAAGAGTGCTGAGTTCTGGTCTTGGCCCTTGGGTGATCGCTTGCCTTCTCTCAGCTGAGTCTCCCACGTGTAGGCTGGGAAAGTCCCGACAGTCTGACCGTGGGCCCCTTGCTGCATTTGGTCCAGAGAACAAGCCCACCAGCCCTGCTCCACTGAGCAGGTGGGCCGAGAGTGTGGGGAAAAGAATCAGGAGATCCAACTGCCACCAACTCACTGGTGACTTGGACACTTCCCTTCCCCTGATGTGACCTCAGTTTCCCCATCTGTCATATGAGAAAATGGAACTAGGTCTGTAAAGCCCGTGTGGGTGACACTGCATGGTTCCATGAGAGGTTCATGACAGGCAGATCTGGTTCCTCTGATCCTCCAGAGTCTAAGTTTCCCGGAAAGTCGATGTAATTAGCTGATGGCCCAAAACTACCTCCAGAGACCTGGCCCTATTGAGGTAGCTTAAGCACTGAGATCATGTTCTATTGATTGAATAAAGTTTAACTTTTGGAATGAGCCTCACGTGTTCATTTGAAACAATGACAACATCTGCTATTTTAACAGTACGATGGCTTCTTCTTTTTTTTTTTTTTTTTTGAGACAGAATCTCACTCTTTTGCCCGGGCTAGAGTGCCGTGGCGTCAGCCTAGCTCACAGCAACCTCACACTCCTGGGTCAAGCAATCCTTCTGCCTCAGCCTCCTGAGTAGCTAGGACTACAGGCATGCGCCACCATGCCCGGCTAATTTTTTCTATATATTTTTAGTTGTCCAATTAATTTCTTTCTATTTTTAGTAGAGACGGGGTCTCGCTCTTGCTCAGGCTGGTTTCGAACTCCTGAGCTCAAACAATCCGCCCGCCTCGGCCTCCCAGAGTGCTAGGATTACAGGCGCGAGCCACCGCGCCCGGCCTATGATGGCTTCTTATACCTTTTCTTTCTACTGATTCCATACTCGAAAAATGGTTGAAAAAATGTGGTTTAAACCATTTCTTCCTACTGTACCAAGAACAGCAGCCTTCAACCACCATGATGACCTTGTCCTAGGGCAGAGTTGGATCCTAGAGCCACAGCAGGGGGTGACTATTAAGAGCTGATCTCTGCCTGAATTCTGTGGAAAACTGGAAGCCGACTTGAGCGACCACAGCAGCGCCACCTACTTTCATTGCTCCTGCGCTCTACGTTAGGAACATAACCAGGTTTTCCATCCTTGCCCCCTACGGTCTGTACATGTCCAAGTCTGACAAAAATCTGTCAAGGCCAAGTTCAAAGCTACTACCTCCTGAAAACCTGCCTGACAGCTCCTAGACATGATTTTTCTTCTACCTCCCACAGCACTGATTGAGTCCTTACTGTCCTGTGCATACCCAGCTCATTGTACGGTGGTCCAGCCTCTGCCAGGGGCCTGAGCTGATTTCTAGTGCACTGCAGTTCTTGTCTTGGCCACTGGTTCTGCCTGCTAAACAGCCTCCTGGCAACTTGTTACTGCGACTGCTGTTAGGCCAGAGTAACCCCAGCCCCAAGCACACGTCATCTGGTTTCCTAATGAAGGTATATGCTGAGCTCTAATGCCCGCCCTACCGTTGCCGCTCTGGGCCCAGGATTCCTCTGGAATACTTTATGTTTCCAGGCTGGGAGATGAGAATTCTGAGAGCAAACCTAGAAAGGCTAGATTACAAGGCAGGGGATCTTCCCTTTCCTGCACACTGGAATCACCAGGGCCCCACCCAGAGGGTCTGGTTACACTGGGCTGTGGCCTGGGCAGTGGGAAGTTTAAAATTCCCCAGCTGGTTCTAATGTGCAGTCAGACTCGACTGAGAGCCCATGGTGTAAGGGCCACCTCCTCTGGGCCCACTTTGTAGTTGGGCGTTATCAGAGTGATGCAGTCACTCTGCTTTTAAGGGTCTGGTCATTGATTTGTTGAGGGCCTGCCACGTGCCACTGTGCTGGGAGGTACTTTTATATACTGTTTCCGGGCCTTACAATTGTGCAGGGCAGGTGCTGTTCTTCTCATTTTACAGACGAGGAAACCTGAGGCTCTGTTTAAGCGACTTACTGAGGGATGCATGGCTATTAATGATCACACCTAGAATCCGACACTGGCCCAAAACTATGCCCTTCCCACTACACTGCTTGCCTCTGCCTAGACAAAGTGATTTCAATAAATAAAACTATTATTGTTTATATCTATCTAATCAAGTTAGCCTAAAGTATGTTAGAAATTAGAATTCATGCCAATTATGCTTTACATAATTTTTAAACTTTAAATTTGTGCTCCATAAGCTTGCTTATTTATGGAAGCCTAGCCTAACATAAACACTTTTAAAAACCAGATTCCAGAGATAGCCAATTAATTTTAAACTCTTCATACATGTAAGAGTCCTAGAATGATTTGAGGATGATGTAGAATCCTGGAACTTTAGAACGAAGGAGAACTTGGAACTAGCCTTTCCAGCCCTTGGTTCACAGACAAGAAGCAGGTCTGGAGCAGGAATGAACCTGCCACGTGTCATCTGACTAGCAAAACGCCTGAGGACAGGCCAGGCGCCCCATCCCCTCTGGTCGATCCTGTTGAAGAGAAGACTGGCTAGGTCCACCTATGAGCCGCAAAGCCTCCTGGGTTTGCTGAAACAGGGACCTGTCCTCTTTGTTTTACGGTAGGAAGACAAGCACGGGAAACAGCCAGTCCAAGGTCAGGCTGAATGAAACCCAGTGTCCTGATCACTATCCTCCAGTAGCCTGGGGCAATGTGATTTAGTGGAAAGATCGGAGCCTTGAAAGAGACATAATCCTAGATTCCCTGATAGTGCGGATGTGACCTCAGACAAACTACTTGCCCTTTGTAGGTCTTAGATCTTCGTTGGTAAGACACTCATTGGCCAATGGTATACACCTTGTAGGGTGGTCTGAGGGGTTGATGGAGCTCACTTGTATGAAATGCTTAATCCTTAGCCTGCACTCGAGAAACATTTCCCTTACACCAAGCGACTTAAGAAATCTCTCCACTGGGAGCTCAGGTTCTGCTGTTAACTTTGTTATCTCAAGACCTGCATCTTGTTTGCTTGATATGTTGGTTTACAACTTTCAAGTTGTTGGGGAATGCCGTGAGCAGGAATTAGGTAACGCCTGCAGAATGGTTTCATCTCCTTAGAGGAAAGACAAGTATTCAAACTGTTTACCTTATTCTCTCATTTCTGAACTGCCAATTTTACTTCTTGCCATAAATTGACGAAATGGGGATGCTGGCAAAATAGCAGGTACAGGCTGTATTATCATTGCTTATTCCTTGGGGAGATCTAGAAGCAACTGGCTGGGAAATATTTAGCAGAATTAATACTTGGGGACAAAGGCTGGTGCATAACAAAACCGTTGTGCAAATCAAGCTTAGAATGTAAATCAAGGGCTCCATTAATATTCTGTGTTTTAATGGAAGAAACACCTGCTGGGCTATCAATAAAGGAGCTTTGCAGAAAGCTGTTGAAAGTGTCATTTCCTTAACTACTTGAGTGCCAGGTCCCTTCAGAGTTCCCACAATGCATTTCTTTACCAAGATGCCAGGAATGCTTTTTAGAATGGATTGTTTTGCATCCAAGGGCACGTGAGGCTTTGTTCTAGAGTTAGGAAAAGGGCAGAGCACGGTGGCTCCCGCCTGTAATCCTAGCGCTTTGGGAGGCCGAGGCAGGAGGATTGCTTGGGCTCAGGAGTTCCAGTTCAGCCTGAGCAAAAGCAGACCCTGTCCCTACAAAAAATAGAAAAATTATCCAGGTGTGGGAGGCTAAGGCAGGAGGATCGCCTGAGCCCAGGAGTTGGATGTTGCAGTGAGTTGTGCAACATCTGTGCAACTACTGCACTCTAGCCTGGGCAACAGAGCGAGATTGTCTCAAAATATATACAGAGAGAGAGTTAGGAAAAGGTTTTTTTAAGTTTTCTTATAATGTGGAAAATGGGAAAATATTTTTATGATGTTATTGTAAACATAAGTAGCGTTTGAAAAAATCAAGGTATTTCACTGAATTTAAAGAAATGACTTACACCATAGTGACTCAGACTAGAGACTCTGGCGTCAGACTGCCTGGGACACTTACTAGCTGTGCGACCCTGTGCAAGACACTTCCTCAGAGTCTCTGTACTTCAGCTTCCTTATCTGTAAAATGGGGACAACAGTGCCTGGCTTATAGCAGGTGCTTGGTGAGTGGCAGCTGCCCTTACATTAAGCGATACTTTGCACAAGGTAGGAGGGTGGGTGGTGCACTATGGGCCAGCAGAATGGGGTGGCACCCGTAGGCTTCCCACGTTCATTTCAGGCACCATGCTGGTGCAGGGATGGTGTCCGTTCCTGTCAAGCCAGCAACTCTCAAGGCTGCTAATGAGCTCCCGTGGTTACAGCTTAATTACACTTAGCTAATTAAAACTGTGTAAGGCCAGGAGAGTGAGAAGCCACTTGCCAGTTCATGGTAACTGAGGACACGCTTGCCAGGGCAGAACTTGCTGCCGAGGCCCCCCGAGAAAGCACGTATGTTGACAGGAGCCCCATTGGCGGGGTGTTGAGTGCTGTGGGGATTTGGCTGTGGGCTCTGGCAGGAGTCTCTGCAGACAGTGGATTCCGCTACCCAGGAGGACAGGTTGGGAACATCGCATGACACAGTGAGTGCTAAGACTTTACTATTAGCTTGGTGTGAGCAAGGCAAGGGCAGCTGGGTCTATTGCAACCCCCCTGAAGGCAGGGCCCGGTCTTGTTAATATTGGCATCTTCTGAAGGGCTCAGAAGAGTCCTGAATTCAAGTTCTGGCTCCACTCTTCACTAACTAGCCGACATTGAGCAAGTTACTTGACCTCTCCGTGCCACTTCCTATAAGTAAAATGATGCTATAAAACACCTGCCTCCTAGAGGTGCTGGGAGGAGTGAGCCCAGCCACATAAAGCACCTAGAATGCTGCCTGGCATAGCCTAAGTGCTCAGGCGGCTATTGTGGCTGTTGTGACTGAGCCGGGCCAGCATTCCATACGCACTACCCCTGGAATGTGCCCTTTGAAGGCTCCTTGCCTTGGCTCGAAGGCTCTCCCACTCTACCCAGCCCCAATTCCTTCTTCAGCTGCACAGCTCAAGTCCATCATGTGTGGTGGCTTCCACCCCTGATCTGTTCAGAATTAATCACTCCTCCCTCTATGCCATCAGCCAGT